GTTTTCTCGGTTGCGTTATTTATCCAAGCCCTATTATCGAAATCCCGCATAATGGTCTGTCTTATTATGTAGACTAAGCCTTACTACATGTTGGCCAGGCAAGGCTAAACCCCGACCAACCTGTAGGGTCCGCTAACCGGGATTAAGATGGGCTGAGCCAGTCTATCCCCGTTTGGTCGATTGATAACATCCTTAATAATGATGGAGAAGTGTGGGGTATGGTGTCAATGGGAATAAGAAGGGATGTGAAGGTGGTGGAACCACGTGAGCGGAGACAATAACCACTTGCGAAAAAAAAAAAGGAGACAATAACCACATGAGAGCATATGAGGAAGTAAAAGAAAGGACCTTAATATCATTGTCATGTTATGTTGTTGATACTGATAAGATAGGTTTGGCCAATGGCTTGCTTCTCTTTCATTAAATACTTGTTTCACCAAACGCTCTCTTTATGCTAATCTCTCCTTTTTATTCTCTTAACATGTCACATTATCTTAATTAATTATAATTTGTTTCTCCTTTTCACTATTTTCTTAAACAATTTGAATAGAGGGTTAGATATAAATACACATTTAAGTTTAAAATTTGATATTCTTATAGAGAAAAAAATAGGGGGAGCCGAAAACCCGAACAAGACCTCATCTCATCAACTTGAAACCAAACCGAATTTTTATAATATACTACACTTATCTCGTATGAAGAGTTTCCACTCTCTTCAAACAAATAGATACGAGATGGAAAATTTTTGTGTATCGACAAAATCGAATTATATAGAAAAAGAGAGAGAAGAGTTAGATCTAGTAAGATAACCCTATATCCCTAAGCCTATTCACAAGTACATGTCTCATGAGAGATTTTCATCTAGGAATATATGAATTACAGATTTCCAGCTTGACAATAATGTAATCAAAATTGTGCCAACCAAAGACTTTTAGTAGCAATATCCATTAATTGCTTGGTTGGTTCGACCTTAAGTGTGAACACAATCCCATTTTGAATATATAGCAACGTGAACACATCAAAAATCCATCTCAATTTGTTTTCGTGAGCTCGTGAAAGACATAGTTCACGAAAATGTGTAACCCCACCTGATCTACATAGTTGCACATGTGTGACTCCCAAATTAGCAAAGTAACATGCGCAATTATATTAACTATTAAACCGTGATTGTGACAACCCATTCAAATGTAGATTACTATAAGATTGAAGCACAAACGCCTAACCTGAACTAATTCAAACGTATCAAATCACCTGAAGTACAAGTTCTTACTGATCAACTCGAAGATTTTGCATAAACTACAAAGTCTACAATAGTACATGTATAGATACGTCAGGTCAGGACTCGTGGCTAACAAGTATATTAACTTTCCTTGCGAATAATCAATCTTCCAGAAAAATCTCCATCGAATAAAGTGGTGGTTTTAGTTTTCGAGTGTTGTTAACTCTTCTAAAAAAGGAACATTAAATACAACATAGAGATCACATGTTCGAACAAGAATTGAGAGGGAATCATGTTACATGCTCCGGTTTAGAATATTTGCAAAAATTTATTTTGTAGATTTTATATATGTTAACGTTTCAGAAACATGTAACTTTATCTTTTAACGATACATTGCCGTTATAAAAAAAAAGATTCTAAACACGTCAAATAGATAATTTTGAGGTCATAATATACCATGAAGAGAACATAATATTGTAAATTAGTTGTAAAAAAAAACTGAATTTGTTTTGAAAGTTTCTATATAAGTATTGTTCGTACTTGCACCTATACCAAAAAGGCAAAAACAACTCGTGTTTAAAATAGAAACTAAGCAAAGAAAAACGCATTTATCTATACGAACATAACACAATTTCATTTATGTTAGATAAAAAGTAGTCAAAATATTTCAGCCCTTTATAGTATTTATAGAATTGGTATAAAATTATTTGGTCAACAAATATTATTGTCCATTTGTAAGGGTCAACAACACAATCATAACTTGTTAAAAATATGAATAGGTTTTACTAATATAGTTACTTGCCGCATTAAGGTTTGTTCCTCTTGTAGTATATAAGATAAACTATTTGAGAACAATAAAATAAATTTTACATACAACATAAGAAATAATACGAATAATTAAATAAGTCTTGCATCATGTCTAAGAAATTATTTTCTTATTTCATGGTTTTGGTAGTTCTCTTCTCAGGTAATTAACTTCTTCTTTTCTTTCATATTATTGTATATGCTCAATGATCAAATACGTCAATGTATAATGAGCTTTGAAATGTTCACATAACTTCTTTATAAGAAAATGTTTATAGGAAGCATTTATAGGAAGCTAATGAACTAATGCTATTTTTTTTTTCCATAGATATTCTATTTTATCAAAAGAAGCATACCAATTTTTATAATATTCTATACAGTTTTAATCTGTTTGTACATATCTATGAACTTTTACTCACTATTTGTTGCAGTATTATTGATTATTCCCAAAACTGAGGCACAAAAAAGATGCAGACAAGAACTAGAGCCGGGAAAGCAATGTGTGTTGGCAAAGTGTAGGGAACTGTGTTTCAAAAAATTGAAAGGATTCGGAAGTTGTATTGAGAACCCACCAGGCTCTGCTAAGTACACATGTAATTGTTTCTACAATTGTGGTCCACCTGGAGTAATTTAGAACGCTCGATAATGTAAACTCAATGAAACATTAGTATAAATTTCTATGGATTACAAAATGAAAATTTCTCTTTAAATTACAAAAATGTAATAGTTTAACGTATGATTTGAGAAAATAATAATACATGAATGACAGAATGAGCTAATGCAAACTTTTATGTCGTGTAATTAAAACGAAACATTATTTGGAAGTTTTTTTTTGGGGTGAAATGTGAAATTAATTAATCTGTAAAGGAAAATTTACAATGAGTTTGGACAAGAGTAGAAAACCATGTAAGAAAGAACATAGCTAACAGCCTAACACTAAGAAAAGAGCATGTTAGGTCGTAGACGTCTATCGTTGAAGTTTCGACATAAATCAAGTCTGAAGCAATCCACTTAGCTTCTTGTGTTCATAATAACTTTGTAGTTGCCATTTACGACCTATACTTTTACAAGAGATAAAACAACTTTGTAACAAGAAATGATTATGTTCTTGATATTTAACACATATAAAATTACAATTTAACTGATAATACTCATAATACTATTTTTTTATTGATAATGCTCATATAATTATCATTTTGTGACTATATAAATTACTTCAAAGATTTGATATATGTTAGCAAGGGTCCATTCCTATCGTTGTGGAGAGCTAAAGCAAATTTATCAAGGTGTGGCCCTTTTTAATTAATAAAATGATTTTTCATAATATTTTGAATATAGAGAAACTCAAATATATAAATTATAACTTAAAAATTAAAATATGAGGTGCTTAACTTATAATTTACAATTATTATTGTTTAATCTAATAATTGATATGTAGATATGTTATCAAACTCTTGTAGGTTTAAATTTCAAATCTTAATTTTGGAGAATGATCGTTGTTCAAAAAAAAAAAAAAAAAAATTGGACAATGATTGGCAAATTAAGAATACAAGGATTATGAAAGAGAAAGAAAAATGATATTAAAAGAAAAATAATATAGAAAAAAGTGACCTTTTTTTTTTTGACATAAAAAAAAAGAAAGGGTCACTCAAATATTACAAATGCTAGCGAATATTTTTAGAATCTCAATATATTACTTAAATGGAAACAACAATTAAATGGTCGATCGCTCTATATCACTTAACAGATATAACTAATTCCATATTTTTCCTTAAAACATTATTATTATTATTATTCATTCATTGAGATATTGTTAATATATAAAATCATTAATTTCGGATTCCTTAATTTCCTAACTAACAATACGCATTTTCTAAAAATATATTCAAACTACAATACCCGAAGTTAGCTAACAATTCTGAACGTTCTTGTCCTAATGCCATCATGTCCATTTGTAGGAGTCAACACAATGAAAACTTGTCAAATATAAATACTTTTTACTTATATACTTCCCATATTAAGGTTTGTTCTTCTGATAGTCGTTTATGTGCTTTAATCATTTCCGTCTTCTCTCGTCAATCATCTATTTTTTCCTTAATACGATTCTATATTTATCTCTGCATATTATTATATATCTTCTCTAATTGATATTGATTGATTGTGAGGATTATATATAATCGTAGACCATGAGCTCATGATGAATAACATCAGAAAATTCACATTGACTCGAGCTCTTTCTTTGACATTTTTCAAATATTAATGTCTTGCACCATGAACAAACAATTCTTTTCTTATTTCATGGTTTTGGTGGTTCTCTTCTCAGGTAATTAACTTTAAAATTCTTATAATCTTATCTTATATGCTCAATGATCTAGTATGTCAATGTAGAATGAGTTTGAAAATATTTACATGACTTTAGCTTATGAACTAATGCTATCAAAAGAAACATACTAGTAATGTTTAGGATAACTATATACAGTTTTTAATCTATTCATTTCATACATATATCTATGAACTTATACTCGTTTTTGGTTTCAGTATTATCGGTTGTTCCTAAAACTGAGGCACAAAAGAGATGCAGACAAGAACTAGAGCCGGGAAAACAATGTTTGTTGGCAGAGTGTAGAGAACTGTGTTTCAAGAAGTCAAATGGATTCGGAAGTTGTCTTGAGAAACCACCAGGCTCTGAGAATTACACATGTAATTGTTACTATAATTGTGGTGCTCAATGATTTTTTAGAACGTTCTATAATGTAGACTCAGTTCTCAGTTAAACATTAATATAATTTTCTATGGGTTACAAAAATAAAATTTTATCTTTAAATTACAAAATATACTAATTTAACGAATGATTGAGAAAATAGTAATAAATGAATGAGTTATTCACATATTTTGTGGTTATGTAATCAAAACAAAACAATATATTTGATGTGGGTCCGCATCTAGTTTATACAAATTTGTATATATTTTCTTGAATGATAGTTTTGAGAATTGATTCATCATTTACCTTTTTGTCAACTGATCAAGATTGATGGACGAGCATTGAGTTGATTTCTTTGGCTCTCTGGTGAGAATCATATTCCACAAGAAACTCATGAAGCACGGCATCGATGTTGATCCAACTACACCCGGGATCTTTCCTTATATCAATCTCCTTCATTCTCAGCCTCATCTCTGAAACCTCTGACCAGTTTCCTTGAGAAGCATACATGTTTGAGAGAGCAACATAAGCTCCACTGTCATGAGGAACCATATCCATTAGAATGTTGGTAGACAGATAAAACATCAATGAAGCTATATAATATCTGAAGCAGTTTTAACTTCTTATGCAGGGTTTTTTTTTGTTGCTTACTAAGATCATATAAAATCAAAGTCTAATTTGTAAAAGCCATCATTTGATTAACTCAATGACAGCATAATGCCGTTAATTATGAATGGTTTAGGCCTAAATCCTCAGCGATTTCCTCTTAGTACCTGCCACAGAAACAGGAGTCAAAATGTTTGTTCGAGTCTTGTATTGGTTAAATTTCAAAGTGTTACGATAATAAGCTTTAGGTGTAAACAGAACTGAGTAGCTTGATTATAGTGACGTCAGAAGATGAAACAAATTTAACTACATGAAATGTTTATTACAAGTATCAAACGGCTATGTCTGTCAGTTGCAGCCATCCGTACGCACACCGGTCTCGTATACTTCGAGCCATGGATGCTGCTGACTCAACCGCAGGTCTTATCTTCGTCATTGCTTTCTCTACTTGAATTCTGACACCAACATCCATCTGCTGCCAGAGAGGTTATTAGGGATCTAGAGAACAGAAACTGATTGTGATAACACTTACACTAGAAGCAATGAGGTTGAAAGTAGAAGAAACCTTTTCTAGAGAGCATTGTGTGTCTAAGATGTGGCAAAAGCATGATAGCTGCCTGTACAAGTCTGCTTCAGTGTACTGTAATAAGACAAAGGATTGGAGTCAAAAGTTGTCCTATAAAGCAACAGAAAGATAGGAGTGTTTCTTACTTACAAGGACGATGAGGGCTTATACCTTTCTTAAGAGGGTTCCATGACAGTTAGGATAGTTTGGGCAAACTGTTCCCCGTTCACAGTCACCGAGCAGACGAAAGTTGGGGCTGCGTGTCGTGTATTTGCAAGACTCATCGTCACACTGTTGAAGGCAAAATGTACAATTAACATTTCGTAAGCATGACTTAATAACAACAGGTGTTCAGAATAAACGAGGCAAGTGACAAGGTTTTATGTGCACCATCATTATGCCTTTGTAGTACATTGACACAAATCCATCAATCTGCCTTTTCACCTAAAATGCATGATAATAAGTTAATTACCAAAGCATTTGTTATACAAAAGAATCTTAATTTGAGAAACGTAGAAATTATGGATCCTTTTCAACAAAGATTTGCCTACCTGGTTAGCTATCATTGCAGGGGATATTCTTCTCGTGCTACCTTCTGCTTCGCATTTCGGGCAACGCAGTTTAAGCCAGAATATAGAATCAGATTCCTCTGTTTCAGATTTGTTACTGATCGACGCACAAACTGAGCTAGTAATCGATGGACAGTTGAAAGCAGCTGAGCAGCTAGGGCATGCTAATGCTAACGGCTCACAGCTTTTATATCTGCGTTTTTAACATGTAAATTACGTTGTTTCATGAAAGCAAACTACAAATGGGATAAGATATTATTACCTTTCTTCATAGCTTGTAGCACACAAGAGGGATGTAGAAGGATCACTGCGAGTAGTAACGTTTGATCTGCTTCGATACTATAGAAAAAAGACAAAAAGAAAAAAGGAACACATAATTTCCAATCATTATATATGGAATTGGAGATTGGCTTAGATGAAAACTTTACCTTTGATGAGTCAAGTCCTAAACACTCAGCTAACCTCTCAGGACTAGTGCCCTGAATCTCTGCGCATAAACGAGATACCACCGGATGAATCTGTTGTGCCAAGTAGTAATCTATGTCAACCAACCATCTGCTGTCGTCTGATTTCACCTCATCAGGATGCCTAGCACGTTCGGCAATCCCTGCTGAGCTTGCTAAGCTAGTACTACCCTGCAATGAGGAAGGGTAAGAAATTTAGTAGAAAGACGATTTGGTAGCGGATAGTATTAGGCTGGTCTTCTGTTCTGTGTTGGGAACCTGTTCATAGCAGATTATATACGGTACGGTATCCTTAGCACTGAAACCTTTTTTATAACCACGTTGCCTCATCCTGAGTGCGACCTGAGAAAAAGATTTAACCTCACAATCAGAGTTCGGAAAATGTGACAACTACAAATTTTTAAGCATAATTCCGGTATGCGAATAATAGGCTCTCATACTCACCTGAACGTGTGGTTGGCTTTTGGAATCTGGATAAGCTTCTGGTGACTTACTCAATGCCTTGGTGATGACATACTTCTCAAGTGCAACTTGCCCATTTCTCATTTCCTCTTTTATCTGTTGCATAAACAAAGTATCATGTATTGAATGATAAAGAAGAGCAAACTAATTATCAAAGGTTAACAATGATTACCTTTATAAGTTCGTTATGAATTGCTTCAACAACATCCTCACACGACCTGCAAAGAAGACAAGATTTTGTTAAGCTTTGTAAGAGAGAGAGTAAAAATAATGCTTTTAGTGAATGTTCTAGAACATACCCTCCATACAAGATTTTAGCTAAGCATAAATCTCCAATTTCCTTGGAGAGCAAGCTCCAATCTCGACGAACCATGTCCACACCTTTCCTATCAATGTCCTGCATTGAGAATGCATCTAGTACCCAAACATTGTTTAAAATAAAAGGTAGTCAAATTGTGTAAATTAGATATTACCTCGAAAATCTTCCCGTCCTTGAACTGCAACTTGATGGCGGCATATTTCTTTTTTCTAAGAAGAAGCATTCTCTTATATATGCAATCACGTTCAATCTTCAGACATCTATACTTCTTATTGACCTAGAAATTGAAAAAGAGAAGGTGAGACCCAAATCATTGTAATTTGTCAAACTCATGCATCAAGAAACCGAACATCAAAGTTGCAAACATTTAATGCATATTGGTTTAATCATAGAAAGGTTTGAATTAATCTATTTTCCAGCCTACCTCTTGGATGACTTTAGCTCCAATGGCTTTGACCTCTTCGATATCATCTAGTCCAGTGTGAATCATGATTGAATCTGTGTCACCATAAATCACCTGCATAACAAAACAAGAAGTTCAATTTTACACTTGATAAAGCAGAAATGTTGACACATTACATTAATTTCTCTGCTGAAGTGCATTTCGTGCGACTCAAGGTATAGGAGATACCTCTAGGTTTAAATGATTCTGGACAAGATCCACAGTTCTTTGCAGTATCTCCCTTCCCTGCAATGTTTGGGAATTAACCGGATCACAAGAGAACAGAGAAAAGCAAAGAAAAATGTATCACTAGAAACATACCTGTAGTGTTATGAGCTCTGCTAAAGGCTTAGCGTAGAATCTTGAATTAGAAAACCCAAGATATCCATACAAACTGCATTTAGAATGAAACACTAATATCAAAAAATGTGGTGAATGGGCATTATTGCCAGCAAAAGCTAAAACCATAAATACAAACCTATTCGCTGTGAGCTTTAATGCCTTCTGCCGAATGTCAAGCTCCCGGCACTTGAGACCTGTTTCCTTCTTCATCTTTAGTAGGACGCATTTCCTTATACTGACCAAATGTTCCATCAACTAAAAGAAAGACATGTTGTGAAATTCATGATCTAATCTTCATTAGACTTGGCATAACAGAACAAGGAGAGAAACTCAAAGTCGTGGCACCAAAATATGCATAGAAGATCGAGGACTGAACCGAGAGAAGTCACAATATAAAGAAACTAGTGTAAACATACCTTTGGAAGAATTCCAGGAGTCTGACTAGAAGGTAAACGAGGAACACCGTCTTCTGATCGTGGTATAGTCGTGAAACAGATATTATATTCCTGAAATTACAATGACGGTTATGAACCAATCAAGTGGAAACAGCCATCCAAGGCTTGAGAAATAGAAAACAGTCTGCTAACCTGTATAATAGACGGGTAAAGACTATTGAAATCGAGAAGCAACACATATTTGTCATATAAGCCTTTCTTTGGCTCCAAGACCAATCCACCAGCGTAGGCTGGACCCTTCTTTGTTTTGTTGCCCTTAGACGGATCATCTACATTGTGGTCTTCTGGACCATGATTGATTCTTCTTTTTGATGACTTTCTTTCCTTCATATGTTGCGATATTTTGTCTGGGAGAATGTACTTTTTCGAGTGGAATGTATGTAGTAAGTAGTATTCATTTCTTTGCGCGCTGCCTCCCTGGTAATGAACCACAAAAAAATTTTGTAAGTCACCAGATAACGTTTGAGAGAGAGAGAGAGATGAGAACTAGAACAGGAGTCATTCATTACCTGAAGAGTTTTCCCCCAGAGATTGCCACTTATGTTGGTAAGCTGGAGAGTGAGAGGAAGAACATTTAGATGAAACATGAGCTCCATGGATAACCATGCATCTGCCTCACCACATTCAATCTGAACCCAAGAAAACCAAAAGGTTATAGCGAGCAAGCAACTAGATGCAGTCATAACCTATCGTCCCTAGTGAGTTAGTACCAGCTCGTATCCATAAAACATACATGAGTGGACAAACTAAAGAACTTACAAGTTCCACAAGTGTTTTAGATGACTGAAACATTTTGGGAATATCATTAGGCGATATCTCTTTCCTGTCCCGGTTCAGCACTGTCTTTGAAAGGTCTGTTAACGAATAACTGACCTGCAACAACCAGAAGCTTATAAGTGAGGGACGAAGCTTCAGCTCACAGCTTATAAGAGTTAAGCATCATACCTGCGGCTTCAACAAGTCACGAGAACATATATCTGTATCACATAAGAGTCTTCCAGCAATGCAAAACATAAGCCCTGGTGTAGCTCCGGACCCAAAATTAGTGTTCCCTTTAAGCTTAGGCATGGAAGAGCGTTTGAGACGGCCAATTTTGGACCACATGCTACTCTTAACTTTGCAAGCCTCCACAGTAATCATTCATTTTTTAGAGAAAAACAGAAGTTAAGTTCATATCTCTGTTAATTCACCATCACAACAGGAGAGACTGAGAAAAGGGACTACATGATGTACAATGCATAAAATAAGAACTTGCTGGCTTATTAATGTTACTTCTGCATAGAAGACAAGTGCTTACAAAACTAATGGTAAAAAAGACACTATAATGGTAAAAAGAGTATTTGCTTTACCTGGGCTCTTTGGAGAAGGACATCCAGATCAAAACCGGATATATTATGTCCTACAAGAACATCACTGTCCAAAATGTTCAACTCATCAAAAAATCGGGTCAGCAATGCGCTTTCACTGCAGTAAGAAAAGGAAAACAAATGTTGGAGGAAAGCCAAATATATATATGGATCATAAGCACAGCCTATACAGCAACAGAGCTGCGAAATACCTGATTTCAAAACTCAAAACACTGCAGCCGTTCTTTGAATTTCTGTCAGCCACTTCTTTTTTCCAACCAATTGGGTAGCTGGTTCCTTCAGGATTCCTGACAACAGTGAAATGACTCAGAACACCAGATCGCTTTCTTTCTGGACCTGGCATTGGAACATCAATCTGAAAGACCAAGGAACATCAAATGTCAAGCTACTCATGTTGACATAAGAGTGTGTCATTTGAGCTAGAAAAAATCGTCCAGAAACCAGCTTAAACACAAAAAACACACATATGGTACAAATAACTACTTGTATCTGGTAATGTCATGATCATACTTAAGAATGTCACATCCATATTATTCACAGAGAGAAACAACGGCTAAAGAAGCTTTTTGGTCAAATGTTGTAGAACAAACCTTGGCGTTGTGAAAGCAGAGAAAAGACGCAGAAACAATTTCGCTGATGTTCTGCTTTTCATTGACTATAGTCTTTAAGTTAATGGCTGTAACGACAGCAGAAGGATGAACCGTTTTTTCCTTCGGAATTGAAACAGTGATAACCTTGGGAGATTCAACAGTAACCTCAGACTTGCACCAGCTCACCTGCACAAGTGTCAAGTCCTCATTATTGGAAAAGAAAAACAGAACTAAAGATCACTAGTAAGGATGATCATGGTACTTTTTCAAGGCCTTACTCGTTGAGATGGTGAAGAAAAGACTGAAATTTTGAGCCAAGAAGGTCCCATGATCTTCCTTTTGAGGATAAAAAGCTCCAAAGCACTGCATATAATTTAACTCAATACAAAGGACCAGTAAATGCACACTTAACTAATCGACCATAAAAAAACTCAGCAGTAAGACGACAAAACCTGGTATGAGAGCCGAGCACAGCGCAAAAAGACTCCCCTTTAAGGTCTTCTGAAAGTGGAGGATCCTATGACAACAAAGACAAAAGTGTTATTGTGTTGCCGAAAAAAACAGACAACTTTTGAAGCTGAAATGTACCTTAAATGGATAATGTATTTTCAAAACATATTGTTGGCCAGCAGGAACATCAGGCCTGTCAAATGCATAGTTTCTCTGATATTCATTCAAGGAGAGCAGAAGAGTGAGTCAAAAGAAAAGTTTTGCTGGTAGAATACATGAAAAGTTAAAAGTAAAGAACCAAACCTTGACAATTGCCATGCTATAATTTGAAACATTGAGTTTTAACAATTGCTGAGAAATTTCCTTCTTCAGTTTTGATGCCATTTCCTGAGAAGACAGGGCCAAAAACAATAAGTAAGAGAGGAAAAAGATCTAAGCAATAAGTAACACAAGTAGTGAAACTCACATGTAACTTCCCTCGGAAGGATTCAGGAGAAAGTCGAGACTCTTTCACCTCTTGCTCGAGCGTTATTAGTTCATGGGAAGGAAATATGGAATCATTTGGAATAGCATAAACACATCTCTGGATATTCTTCACTACCACACAACAACTCTTGTACGTATCTTCCTTTCTAACCTGAGAGTGTATCCGAATGAATCTCCAAAGAAGAACAACTTAAAAGCACAAGGGAAGAAAAGAGACTCACCTTGACCTTCCCAAAGAGATGTATTGTACCCATACTAGCGTCAAAAGGCTTCTCGTAAGCGTCAAGAATGTAAAAAAGAAGTGATCCATCAGCCTCCAAATCAAATTCTTCCGTTTGGCATTCAGCAAGTGGAACCTCATTCTCAGTTCCACCTGTGCCCATGGCTTCTTTCCAACCAGCATTGGCGCTTAAAGCCGGGTACTTGTCTTTCATATCAATTGCTTCATTCAATGTAAATACCTCATTGGCATCACTTGGAGGGATGACTTCAAATTCTGTCACGACTTGCTCTTTCTCCATTGAGGGTGAATCATGAACCAGATTATTCTTGTTCAATGTAGCTGATTGTTGTTTCCTTCGCTTATGATGTCTTTCTCTATCCATATCATCAGGAGTAAACTCAGCTAATACCTCATCAAGAATACTCTCACAACATTTGACCTTATCAGTAGTCTCTTTGCCTTTGTTAAAACTTGAACATGTGAACATTGAAGAAAGTCTTCCTTCACCTGTAATAGTATCCGCACCCTTAAGCGACACATTTACCTTCTTCTTCTTCTCAGTCTTCCTCCTCCTCTGCACTCTCCCGCCACAATCGTCCGATTCATCCGTCGACTCTGCTCCACCACTGGGCTTCGACCAATCCTCCTCCTCACCCTCGTCGACATATCCCAGATCGCCATCGTCCACCACAAACCCGCGATCTTCCTCACGCCGTCGGGAAACAAGTGATTGGTACTCCTCATCACCAATTGTATCGAAAATAGGCTTTTGCAGCCTAATCTCGCACCCACCACCACCATTACGAAGTTCTCCTTTCCGAGTAGCTTTCAGCCGCTCCAGGGCTTCCTTCCGACCGGACGCCTCCAAGCCGAGGCTGAGCTTTCGGCCAACTTCCCTCGAGTTCTCGGCAGACATCTCTCCACCGGGATTTATGAATTTCATTCGCATTTTATGCAATTTGTTTAATATCGTGGCTTTTGTTAACCGGTCGAGTTAATTAATTGGATTATTTAGGGCTTTGCTACTTTATTAGATGTAAGAAGAACCACAAGTCCATTAGTAACTGGTCGAGTTAAATAATAAGGTTTCGGAGAGGTTAGAACCTGTTGCTTTAGGCTCAATAACTCTTCGTGACGTACACCAACTAGCACAGAGAAATCATCTCATAAGTTTTTTTGGGAAACACCAAACCTCTTATATCCTTTTTTTATCTACATATTCCCATCTTCATTAATGAAATGTTATACCAGTTTCACACCATTCAAATACTTACCATAGCATTTTCCGGCGCATTTTCCACTGCAATCTCATCTTCCTTACTCTCATCGGAGGAGGACTTTTCGCCCAAGGATCTACTACCATCATCGGAGGAGGACTCATCTCCTTCATCATTCCCTTCCTCATTCCCTTCTTCTTTCTCTTCTTCTTTATCTTCTTCTTTGTCTTCTTCTTTGTCTTCTTCTTCTTCACTCTCTTCTTCCTCATTCTTCTCAGAGTTTTCTTCCTCCTTGTCAGACTCCACTGGGACTTGTTGTTCTTCAGCTCCTCCTCCCTCAATTATATTTTGCTCTGTCGGGTTTGGCTCCGAGGATGGCTGCTCCGAGGATGGTTGCTCAGTTCTCTGCTTTGCTCCTCCATCATCTACATCTTTTACAAGATCCGCTACTCTCTTCCTCTTTTTCCCTTTCCCCATAGTCTTCGTCTTAGGAGGCATATCTCAATCAGAACAATTGAAGAGAATCAGAATTTGCAAACCGTTGAAGAACAATTGAATGAGAAAAGGATTTGAGAATCGTGGAGAAATAAAGTAGAGGAGAAAAGAAAACGGTCGGGATGGGTTCGTGGGGAAAGGAGAGTGTGAGTTCGAAAAAAAAGAAGGAGGAAGATTTAGGGTTCGTGGGTCGATTGGGGACGGATTTAACCCGGTTTGGATGGTTAGATCCGAAAGCTCTTCGGTTGGTTGGATAAAACCCGGATTTGTTTTGTAGTTTTCTTGTTTTGCCTGGGGTAAAGTGGTAATTGCTCTCAATTTCGATTTAAAATTAAATAAAAATAAAATTATGTTTTGTGAAGGGAGATATGAGACTTCTGTTTGCCAAAAGGGGACTTAGGAGACATTTTCTCGCACAAATCATATCATAAGTCCCTTTTGGGAAACACCAAACCTCTTATATCCTTTTTTTTGTCTACATATCCCCTTCTTCATTAATGAAATGTTCTACCAGTTTCACACCATTCAAATACTTACCATAGCATTTTCCGGCGCATTTTCCGACGCATTTTCCACTGCAATCTTATCCTCCTTACTCTCATCGAAGGAGGACTCCTCTCCTTCCTCATTCCCTTCCTCATTCCCTTCTTCTTTCTCTTCTTCTTTATCTTCTTCTTTGTCTTCTTCTTTGTCTTCTTCTTTGTCTTCTTCTTCGCCCTCTTCTTCTTCACTTTCTTCTTCCTCATTCTTCTCAGAGTTTTCTTCCTCCTTGTCAGACTCCACTGGGACTTGTTGTTCTTTAACTCCTCCTCCCTCAATTATATTTTGCTCTGTCGGGTTTGGCTCCAAGGATGGCTGCTCCGAGGATGGTTGCTCAGTTCTCTGCATTGCTCCTCCATCATCTACATCTTTTACAAGATCCGCTACTCTTTTCCTCTTTTTCCCTTTCCCCATAGTCTTCGTCTTAGGAGGCATATCTCAATCAGAACAATTGAAGAGAATCAGAATTTGCAAACCGTTGAAGAACAATTGAATGAGAAAAGGATTTGAGAATCGTGGAGAAATAAAGGAGAGGAGAAAAGAAAACGGTCGGAATGGGTTCGTGGGGAGAGGAGAAGAGAGTTCGTGGGGAAAGGAGAGTGTGAGTTCGAAAAAAACGAAGGAGGAAGATTTAGGGTTCGTGGGTCGATTGGGGATGGATTTAACCCGGTTTGGATGGTTAGATCCGAAAGCTCTTCGGTTGGGTGGATAAAACCCGGGTTTGTTTTGTAGTTTTCTTGTTTTTCCTAGGGTAAAGAGGTAATTACCCTCTATTTCGATTTAAAATTAAATAAAAATAAAATTCTGTTTTGTGAAGGGAGATATGAGGCTTCTGTTTGCCAAAAGGGGACTTGCGAGACATTTTCTCGCACAGAGAAATCATCTCATAAGTCCCTTTTGGGAAACACCAAACCTCTTATATCCTTTTTTTTGTCTACATATCCCCTTCTTCATTAATGAGTTTCACACCATTCAAATACTTACAATAGCATTTTTCGGCGCATTTTCCAGTGCAATCTCATTCTCCTTACTCTCATCGGAGGAGGACTCTTCCCCCAAGGATCTACTACCATCATCGGAGGAGGACTCCTCCCCTTCCTCATTCCCTTCCTCATTCCCTTCTTCTTTCTCTTCTTCTTTATCTTCTACTTTGTCTTCTTCTTTGTCTTCTTCTTCGCCCTCTTCTTCTTCACTCTCTTCTTCCTCATTCTTCTCAGAGTTTTCTTCCTCCTTGTCAGACTCCACTGGGACTTGTTGTTCTTTAACTCCTCCTCCCTCAATTATATTTTGCTCTGTCGGGTTTGGCTCCAAGGATGGCTGCTCCGAGGATGGTTGCTCAGTTCTCTGCATTGCTCCTCCATCATCTACATCTTTTACAAGATCCGCTACTCTTTTCCTCTTTTTCCCTTTCCCCATAGTCTTCGTCTTAGGAGGCATATCTCAATCAGAACAATTGAAGAGAATCAGAATTTGCAAACCGTTGAAGAACAATTGAATGAGAAAAGGATTTGAGAATCGTGGAGAAATAAAGGAGAGGAGAAAAGAAAACGGTCGGAATGGGTTCGTGGGGAGAGGAGAAGAGAGTTCGTGGGGAAAGGAGAGTGTGAGTTCGAAAAAAACGAAGGAGGAAGATTTAGGGTTCGTGGGTCGATTGGGGATGGATTTAACCCGGTTTGGATGGTTAGATCCGAAAGCTCTTCGGTTGGGTGGATAAAACCCGGGTTTGTTTTGTAGTTTTCTTGTTTTTCCTGGGGTAAAGAGGTAATTACCCTCTATTTCGATTTAAAATTAAATAAAAATAAAATTCTGTTTTGTGAAGGGAGATATGAGGCTTCTGTTTGCCAAAAGGGGACTTGCGAGACATTTTCTCGCACAGAGAAATCATCTCATAAGTCCCTTTTGGGAAACACCAAACCTCTTATATCCTTTTTTTTTGTCTATATATCCCCTTCTTCATTAATGAGTTTCACACCATTCAAATACTTACAATAGCATTTTTCGGCGCATTTTCCACTGCAATCTCATTCTCCTTACTCTCATCGGAGGAGGACTCTTCCCCCAAGGATCTACTACCATCATCGGAGGAGGACTCCTCCCCTTCCTCATTCCCTTCCTCATTCCCTTCTTCTTTCTCTTCTTCTTTATCTTCTACTTTGTCTTCTTCTTTGTCTTCTTCTTCGCCCTCTTCTTCTTCACTCTCTTCTTCCTCATTCTTCTCAGAGTTTTCTTCCTCCTTGTCAGACTCCACTGGGACTTGTTGTTCTTTAACTCCTCCTCCCTCAATTATATTTTGCTCTGTCGGGTTTGGCTCCAAGGATGGCTGCTCCGAGGATGGTTGCTCAGTTCTCTGCATTGCTCCTCCATCATCTACATCTTTTACAAGATCCGCTACTCTTTTCCTCTTTTTCCCTTTCCCCATAGTCTTCGTCTTAGGAGGCATATCTCAATCAGAACAATTGAAGAGAATCAGAATTTGCAAACCGTTGAAGAACAATTTAATGAGAAAAGGATTTGAGAATCGTGGAGAAATAAAGGAGAGGAGAAAAGAAAACGGTCGGGATGGGTTCGTGGGGAGAGGAGAAGAGAGTTCGTCGGGAAAGGAGAGTGTGAGTTCGAAAAAAACGAAGGAGAAAGATTTAGGGTTCGTGGGTCGATTGGGGATGGATTTAACCCGGTTTGGATGGTTAGATCCGAAAGCTCTTCGGTTGGGTGGATAAAACCCGGGTTTGTTTTGTAGTTTTCTTGTTTTGCCTGGGGTAAAGAGGTAATTACCCTCTATTTCGATTTAAAATTAAATAAAAATAAAATTATGTTTTGTGAAGGGAGATATGAGGCTTCTGTTTGCCAAAAGGGGACTTGCGAGACATTTTCTCGCACAGAGAAATCATCTCATAAGTCCCTTCTGGGAAACACCAAACCTCTTATATCCTTTTTTTTGTCTACATATCCCCTTCTTCATTAATGAGTTTCACACCATTCAAATACTTACAATAGCATTTTTCGGCGCATTTTCCACTGCAATCTCATTCTCCTTACTCTCATCGGAGGAGGACTCTTCCCCCAAGGATCTACTACCATCATCGGAGGAGGACTCCTCCCCTTCCTCATTCCCTTCCTCATTCCCTTCTTCTTTCTCTTCTTCTTTATTTTCTTCTTTGTCTTCTTCTTTGTCTTCTTCTTCGCCCTCTTCTTCTTCACTCTCTTCTTCCTCATTCTTCTCAGAGTTTTCTTCCTCCTTGTCAGACTCCACTGGGACTTGTTGTTCTTTAACTCCTCCTCCCTCAATTATATTTTGCTCTGTCGGGTTTGGCTCCAAGGATGGCTGCTCCGAGGATGGTTGCTCAGTTCTCTGCATTGCTCCTCCATCATCTACATCTTTTACAAGATCCGCTACTCTTTTCCTCTTTTTCCCTTTCCCCATAGTCTTCGTCTTAGGAGGCATATCTCAATCAGAACAATTGAAGAGAATCAGAATTTGTAAACCGTTGAAGAACAATTGAATGAGAAAAGGATTTGAGAATCGTGGAGAAATAAAGGAGAGGAGAAAAGAAAACGGTCGGGATGGGTTCGTGGGGAGAGGAGAAGAGAGTTCGTGGGGAAAGGAGAGTGTGAGTTCGAAAAAAACGAAGGAGAAAGATTTAGGGTTCGTGGGTCGATTGGGGATGGATTTAACCCGGTTTGGATGG